TATTGTAAACAGTTTATTTGTGCACATTTAATGTATTAAAAAATGCATTGACCTTGTAGCATTTAATAAATTTTTTTTTTAATTCACCAGACTTTTCTCTAGGCAGGACTTCACAGATTTTATTTTATTATTATTTGGGATTTTTAGGATTTACTTAATATTAAAATGAATAATAATAATAGGTTTAACTTTAACATAATGCTGATACTGGAGGTGAATGGATGGATTCATGTTCAAATCCCCACTCTTGGGTCCTGTTTTCAATAAAAGATAAAATTCATACCAAAGCCCGTGTCTCATGGGAAGTCGTTCACAATTATTCCATCCACACATCACTCAACACGCATTAGTTCTATATGACCGCTTCACTGTCTTCAATTAATATGCAACATTCAAACATGCCGTTATTCTCCTTCCTTTGCATGCAATTACCTGCAAGATCATTTTATTGTTTGTGTGCAGCCGTCACAGTTGGGTTGGCACAGCACACGAGGTTAATAAGATTAAAATGCACTGTTAGCTTGCCATGGTTGAGATCGCCTCTTTAACATCTTATAGCATGTGCTATTAGCTCTATTTAATGTGTACAATTAGTGTATATCTCCTGCACCTCCTTAATAGTCTGTTCCACTGATACTATATACTATTATTATTGCACATACTCAGAGTTAGTGATTTGAACAACTCCCTAAATCTAAATTAAACATGTCTGTTCATGCAAAAGACACAAATGATACCTGAAATCACACGGATTGCTGAAGAGAGGTGTAATATGAGAGAGTTCAGCCTGTGGTTTCCACTTGGTTGGCAATAAAAATATCTGCTTATTTGATCCCTAAATTGAAGGAAGGACCCGAGTCAGAGACCAGAATATCACAGAGACTTGAGGGTGGAATCAGACCAGAAAGCAAACACCTAGCAACACTTTTGATCCATAATAACAGGTCCAAAAAAAAGCAATATAAAACCTGAAGTGTTTCTGTTAGCGTCGGCTATGGAGTCAGACATGAGGGAACATTGCGTGCATGAGTGCGAGATCATTATCAAGCTCTACTATTCTTTAAAAAAATGGCATTCTAAACACAGTTAAATATGTAGATGTTACTAGAGTAATTTGTTTAATCAGAAAATGGTCCATCTAATTAATGGAAATGTCATATTCATTTCTACTGCGCATTAGACCCTTTCAGAGCTACAGAACGAGAGGATGCCAGAGGAGCAGAGCAAAGCACGAAAAATCATTTGATTTATGAGAGCAGCACTTAAGACACAGAGGAGATGTTATGCACCACGGCTTCCAGCCAAGGAGCTAAAGTAATTTCCTCAACGGCAGGTACACTGAAAAAAATAACTATTAAGATTTACTTAAAAAAATTTTGGTAACAAATTGCACGAACACATTTTAAGTAAATTTTACTGCTCTAATATCAAGTACAACTTACTCACTATTATTAAGTAAAATCTACTTACTAAACTTAACATTCATGAAGAAATTAAATCTAATCCACGGCTTCCAGCCAAGGAGCTAAAGTAATTTCCTCAACGGCAGGTACACGCTCAAGCGAACAAAGCTACAATCAAATTGCTTCACTGCACAGCCCAAAAACTTGTTTAATGTCATACTTATGCCTATTCTTTGGGTTTCGTGTGACACCCGAGTACTTCAGTCAGTAGATTTTGAAGCAGGTGTCTGTCATGTGGCCCCAAGGGTCTCAGAGTTTCATCCTGCATCACGTTCATCCGAGGAAACCCAGCTGCTCCTGTGAAATTTCCTTGATGTATTTTGTGTTATTTCTTTAGTCAATCAGGGATCAAAAGCTGAATATGAGTGATGAATCAGCTGCCATCAAAACATCCTTAAACACCCACATGAGTAATAAATACTCTCATCCGCTAATGACTCAGGTTCTGGGAGTTCTGTTGAAGTCTAATTCAAGTTAGTTTCAAGAGCTTTTTAACCACAGAGGCATGGTGTTTATTCTTCATTACAGCTAAATTGTGAAGTAGAGTTTGTTGCCCTTTTAAAATTAGCATTGACATTCTTGCTTAGGTTTCAGGCCTAATACAACCAAATGTCGAACAGCAGTGCACCAGGTTTAAGAGGAGAGAACCTGTTCTATGGAGAACCTGTTAGGTGAAGACGATACATTGATTTAAAAGACAGTTCAATGTAAAGTGACTTTTAAAGGTGCTGTATGTAGGATTGACACCGAGTGGTTGAACTAGGTATTGCATTCCAAATTCAAAACATCGGAGAGGGTTTTTTTCACCCGGTCCCTCCTCCTCAGACTTGACGCACACGCAGGTTGCCAGATTGACGACACCAACAGGAACGAGCGCACTTGACAATGAATGGAATTAAATACGCTGTGTTTTCCGCCAACTGGCAACCCGGGGTGCCGAAATACAATTGGGTAAACTGGCAGTGGGCGGGTTTCACAAACCAAAACAGAGACCGACATTCCGGCCTGGAACGCACATTTTCAAAGGAGAATAACTGACTGTAGCATTGTTTTTCAGATAAACAAGTATGTTAACTTAGCATGTTTCTTAAATATCTGCAAACACATTATGGAATTATGCTTTAGTAGAGTCAAAAACTTACATACAGCACCTTTAAGGTCAGAATTGTAGATAAATGCGCGTACCCTGGTGCTGGGGATGGAGGGGGTTTGAGTTATTGTGAAGAGCGGCAGGGGGTTGATGAAGGTCAAACAGCACAAGAGTCTGGCTGAAATCAGAGGCCGCTTCTTCTCAGAGCCCGAGCCTGAGGCTGGAGGCTAAATGGTTGTAGTCCTAAGCAAACTCCCACTCACAAAGCCTCATTCAAATACCCCATGAACAAGGATACACATAAGTTTTTCGGTCTGGTTCTCATAAAAGCATCTGGAGATTTGGCCTGTTGCTCACACTGCACATTGTGTGACCCATTAAATATAAATAAATTATAAAATATATCTTAAATATAATAACTATAAATTGTCTGTTGCTTGGCAACCACTTTGTTGCAACCACAACTGTTTCTGAGGAACTACATTGTTTGGTGGAAGAATACTGTTTTTATTAATATCATTACACTTTATTCTGTGAAACCTTACTACGTGTATGGAATAACCGTTTTATAAAAGCAATAAGCCTCGTGAAGCCGTGGTTTACAGTGAATTTATAACAGCTAAGGGGCGTTGTTAGGTACAACACAAAGCGGAGTAACCCCCTTAGCTGTTATAAATTCACTGTAAACCACGGCTTCACGAGGCTTATTGCTTTTATAAAACGGTTATTCCATACACGTAGTAAGGTTTCACAGAATAAAGTGTAATGATATTAATAAAAACAGTATTCTTCCACCAAACAATGTAGCTCCTCAGAAACAGTTGTGGTTGCAACAAAGTGGTTGCCAAGCAACA